CCATCACCACCAACCCACAAGGCCCTGTGCGCTAGGCTGCTCATCTTCACCCCCACCCCAACTCTCTACCTTCTTCTCCTCACGTCCGTTCCTCATTCCCTCTGTTCTTCCACACTGGCCTCCTCAATGCTCCTTCCTAACTGGGCAATTCTGCTCTCTACAGCTAAACTGTGCACTTCCTGGGGTTGGAGGGAGGATACTAGAGAGGAAGAATGGGGGCAGGGAGCTAAATAACATTAAGGATGTTTGGAAAAGTCACAGGGAAACATTGTTTTCTACGCTCACCTAAAATACATAATATTATAGATATATAGGTATATATATATAATTCAAATGGAATTATGCCATATGGATGATAATATCCCCCCCAGCCATAAGAGCAAAAGTTCCAGTACCAGACACAGGAAATCTCCCTTCAAATCGCTGGTCATGGGAATCCAGGAGACCCCTATCGATATAGGCGATCATCACTGCCCTTGGTTGCCTCCCAGAACTCGAAGGTAAGACCTGAGAGCTGAAGAGTCCACACACTTCAGACACAGAGTCTGTTCCTGAAGGACCAGCTCTCCCAATATCAGAAGGCATTATACGGGCTATCCAGGGAAAAATGCAATCAAAAGTCCTCCTTCCCGGCTATAAAGCCTACAACCACAACAATGACCAGCCCAAAGATGACCCCAAGGGTATATAATAGCACCACTTTTATCTTGGCGGTAACCAAAGGGCTGTCTAAACAGACTGAAACCTACTCAAAAGAAGGAAATTCAGGACTGTTACTGTAAACTTAGTCAGCTACCAATAGTTAGAAAAGTCATAGACCCTAGATAGAGGATCAGCTACTACCGTGTTCCTAAACCAATGTAATTCCTAACGGCATTCTAGATACTTATGTGTATACCCACAGACAAGTGCAGCTCTCACCCCCCATCAAAGACACTTTTAAAACAAACAAAAGCAAACAGTAACAGTATTCTTCCTGACGGCCTCCAGCTCTTGACTAAACACCTGTGGCTGAGGATCACCCCAGGCACCCTAATATTGCAGCCACTCTCCACCCCCTGCTTTCTCCCCTTGTAGCCTCTTCAGAAAGTCTGTGCAGTCTACTTACCTTGTTCATAGTCTACCTCAGTACAGACTGTAATATCCCGGAGAGGCAGTGACTTTCAGGCACCCAGAACAATAGTTTACATACACAGTCAGCAGACAGTGATAGAATAAACACACACACAAATTAGTGAGGAACATGCCTGTGCCTGACACACTGCTCAGTCAGCATCTGCTGAACGAAGTGGTAAAACGGAGAAATCAGAGTGCTGTGAAGAATAAAATATATATTAAGATGTCATAATAAATTAAAGAGAATAAGGACTCGTCATTTCTGCTCAATCCTCAGCCCCACATCACTGGTTATCACTTGCCGACAGCGAGGTCTTGAGTTACTTCTCTTGGGGAAAGTTTCTCAGTTTGTAGCCCTGGCTGGCCTGGAACTCCTGTAGATCAGGCTGGCCTCAAACTCACACCGACTCCCCTGCCTCTCTGCCTCCCAAGCACTAGGATTAAAGGCCTGAACATCACGATCAGTATTTCCTGCCCTTACATTTTTTTTTTTAAGACAGGGTCTCATATAGTCCAGAAAAGAAAGAACTTGAATTCAAAGCCAGCCTAAACTGAAAACAAAGCAAGACTCTGTCTTAAAATAAAAATTTAAAAAAAAAAAAAAAAGGCAAGGCATGTACCTCAGTGGCAGGGTTCCTGCCTACCCTGTGAACAGAGCCCTGAGTTCAATGTTTAGTACCACAGATAAAAGGGAACCTGACCTAGAAAGAGCTTCACAGCAGGGAGATGTCAGTGGGCAATCACCTGCCTAGCCTGCTCAGGACCCTCGCTTCAATCCCCAGGCCTGCATAAACATAAATAAATAAATAGATATGGCCACCAAAGCTCGGAGCTCTGAAAGCAGAAGGAATGCTGAATCATGCTGCTCCTAGGAGACAGAGGCTAACAGGGCCCCCTTTCCCGGGCCGGGTCAGACTCTCTTCCCTACTATCCTTTTCCTGAGTCAACAGATGATTCTGACTGAGAATGGTCAGAAAGCTTAACTATCACTAGTAAACCTGTCTTCATAACAGCTCACCATAAAAACATACACATCTAATCATAATCCCCTAAACACAGGCACTAACCACAAAAAAGTCTCGTGTACTTTACAGTGCAAGCCTCATCCTTCAAGTTAGACAGCAAACATTATCTGGAGGCCTACTATGAACCAGTTATGGAACAAATATTTGAAGGACCCTACGTCTAGGGGAATATAAGCCTTGTATACAGACAAATTACAGTAAAATCCAATGAGTGTTACTCTGATGTTGTTTGGTGGCAGGTGGAAGCATGTCTCCATAGGGACAGGGCAGGGATCTTGGAAGCGACTCCAGGAGACACAGTGATTTGAGCTGGATTTGAGGGATGAATGGAAGTCTACCATCTGGGAGGAACCAGATGGGACCTCAGACTGACATTGTAGCGAAAGCCCAAGAGTCACAGGACAGCAGTGAAGCCAGCATCGACTAACACATAGAAAGCCAGAAAGACCCACAGAGTACGGCTGTAATTTCCAGCTGGTGCAATATGAATCATGACCTTACTGATGTTGATGAGAGCTAGCAAGTAAAAAAGGACCTAGCACAAATCACGTGTGTATGTGTAAGTACCCTACTACTATGACTATGTGATTACTGTTGTTATTATTAATTATATGCATTTTTGGTCTTGTTTACCATTTTGTGTTTAAGAAAATAAACACTTATTGGATGATTAAAGGTTTTGCAGACTCTCAAAGAAAAGGAAGTAGATGAGCTTTCATATGCTCGTGCAGCAGAGTCTAAAAGGGGAGGCTTTCTCTAGGACCGCTTCAGTCCCATCCAAATCTAGGTCGGTTAGGGTAGATCACTGAGGTAAAAATAACCATCACAGAGCCGGGTGTGGGGGCGCACGCCTTTAATCCTAGCACTTGGGGGGCAGAGGCAGGTGGATCTCTGTGAGTTGACGTCAGCCTGGTTTACATAGCAAGTTCCAGGTTAGCCAAGTCTACCTACCTAGTGAGACCCTGTATCAAAATATCAATCAATCAAAAACAAACAACAATAACAACAAAAACCACAGATTTTCTAATAGCTCTAAGGAAATCACTCGTTTGTGAGTACAGATATTTCCACACATGAGTTCCACTTAATTGTTTACGTGTTTTCTGAATCACTGATTTAACTTTCACTTCCCTTACAATTGAGTCTTTAAAATGGAATTTTAGTTACACAGAGAGAGCATTTTTCTGAATTGCTGATGTGTCTGTAAAGTCTGACAAACGATAAGAAAATCTGACTACCATATCTCAAAATGGCATCTCTACAAGCTATAAAAATAAACAAGTAAACTCATCTTGAGAGTGAAAAGATGTATATTTGAATGACTTAATTCAGACTACCAAAATATAACTGATTATTTCACTTAACTATGGAACCGAAAGTATGAACTTTTCAAGCTTGGGCCCTTAACTCGAATATGAAATTCAAAGAGATGGGGGCTGAAGAGATGCTCAGTGGTTAAGAGCACTGGCTGCTCTTCCAGAGGACCTACGTTGGATTTTCAGAACCCACATGGCGGCTCACAACTATCTGTAGCTTCAGGTACCAGAGGATATGACGTCCTCTTCTGGCCACTACGAGCACTGCATGCACATGGTATACACACACACACACACACACACAAACACACACACACACACACACAGAGACACAGAGAGACAGAGAGACAGAGAGATTACCCAGACACATAAAATTAAATGTTAAAAGCAAAACAAAACCCCAAATCAAAGTCAAAGTGACCTGCACAAAGCAAAGCCAAGACACTTAGTAACAGAAAGCTGTGAGATGACCACAGTTCTTTAGGTTCTCTGCTCAGGAAAGGGGGTTTGGGAGATAGTTCTCTGTACACTTAACCACACCTCTTTGAAATGTGAGGTGTCTAATGCTTGTGTATTCTTCTCCAAAAGTACATGCAATCTGATTCTACATATGAAAGGTTTAAATACCATGAATGAACAATGTTCAACTGAGCTATTTCACTTAGGGACATGTACTCAAAATCTCACTTGTAAGAAGTTTTGTTCATAATTTGGAATCCTTTCCCTTGCTGAAGGAGCTCCTACCCAGCTAAAGATGAAATATGAATAGCACATAAAGAAGTATCCAAGAGAATCAAACCCTCTTCAGCCTCAGATCCCCTGAAATAACCAGGATACCTCTGCGGGCTTGCTGAGAACACAGACTGTAAGTCAGTGAACACGAGTTCACAACGTCATGGATTGCTTATACAAAACAGGCTTGTATGAGAATATTATAAACATCTGAAAACAGAACACTTTGAGAGGAATCAGGGATGATAAGCATGTCTCACCGCCGACCCCTCAGTTCCCCTGGACCGGGCACTGAAAAGGATGAGTAAAGTCTGAAGGGCGTGTACTTGACTATTTTGGAATCAGAATTTAACATGTTTAGGAAGGAGGACGAGTTGATGAAAATTACCAAATGTTTCCATTCTCTCTCCCCTTACACTCCAGAGACAATCCCAACCTTTCTCAGCTGCCTCCCATAATTAGGCTCCCAGTTTGGGGCACTCATCAGCGATGCACACAATACCGCTCGAAAAGTTTCCCAGACATCTACCCTAAGAACAATTTTGTGAATTCTGGGTTGATTCCTCACATTTCTGAGTCCAGTCTGGTAGGGTACCTGTGCACGGAGAATCTACAATTTGAGGTCTGGTGCCTTTAGCTTCAGGTGAACGTCAATGCCCCAGTAACCCTTCTCCTAAGTGAATTTAGCATCTTCTCTACTGTTGACCTCAGCGTGCTGAAAATAGGTGAATACTGAGAGGGACTCAACGCAGAGAGCCGCTGGCTCCCGGGACCCCAGCGCCCCTCCTGCCCCTTCCGGAGCAGAGCTCACCTAGGTGGCCGCCGACGACAGTGACGGCGATCTGGTCCAAGAACACGGCCCGGAAGCGCACGTCCTGCTCGGAGCAGCGCTGGCGGAGCGCGCGCAGGATCTGCACCTGCGGGTAGTCCTCGCGGATGAGCCGGTCGGTCAGCAGCCAGATCTGCGCGCAC